TGCTCGGCGGGGAGTCTGCTTCTCCCTCTGACCCTCCCCACCTCATGCTTTCTCTCTCTCTCAAATAAATAAATAAAATCTTTAAAAAAAAAAAAATGAAAATCAGGTTATAGTAGTGTTAATCATGGAAGGCTGACTCTGCAATAAAATATTTCCAGGTTTCTGCAAGGTTCAGCTGTAGCAAGTTTTATGACAGAAAAGCGCTACATCATGTAGGAAACTGCCTAACTCGTTGTATTCATAGTCTGCTTACTTCCGATACATTGTCATTTGCTATGCATAGTGTTCCCTTAATCTTTGACAGTCTGTAAAATGGTGATAACACCACCTGCCTCAAAAGGTTGGGAGGATCAGAAGTGTTGTGCTTAGTGTGGTGCCTGCCAACTAGTTGCTGTCCAATAAATTAAGGTCATTAAGGTGGTGGTAATGATATTTAAATTATTATGGTTTAGAAATATGGGATTCCTTGTATTATGATAATTGGAGTCTAGATAATGACTAATTAATATAGAACTTTTCTTTATTGACAACCCTGGCATTAAAAGTGTTGTACCTATTTATTTTGAGAAGCCATCTTTAAAATTTGGAGGCATGAAGTTTTTTTCTTGCTGATATGAATGCTTTTCTTTCAGCAACACTTCTTGTTGCTGTAAATGAACTTCGTAGGAGTGCTCGGGCCAAAGGAATGTCATTTTATAAATATGGTATGTATGTTAGAAACCAGGTGTCTTACTTCATCTCCTTTATTTTCTAAAATTGCCCAGTACTATTGCTTTTTCCTTATAGGTGTGTACAAAATATATCTCGATGTCTTCTCTGTATGGCTCTTATATTATATATCATCTCTTTTAAAAAGAGAAACATAGTGTGATATGAACATGAATACTTTATATTTGGATTTTAACTTAAGTGACTACAGTTTTTCTATATATGTTTTTATAACTAGAGAAAGTAATTTGACTTTAAATTTCAGTTACTGTCAACATTTAAACTAATAAATTGTGTTTACATTGAACTGGGTTTTTAAAATCAGGATCTCATACATTTTTTATCTTAATTTATATCTTAATTTTAAATGGATACTTATTAAAATGTTACGTGATAGTATCAAATTAGGATTTCAGAAGTTTCTTTTCTTGTCTCTACCCCAATGATTAAGTAATGGAAAGTCGTGATCCTAGTACAAATGTTATATTACTGGAGGATACTGCAGCGGTCTTGGGAGTGACAATAGCAGCTACGTGTATGGGCCTTACTTCTCTAACAGGTAAATATTTCTTAAGTTACAGGTGATTTATTTGTACTACTTAAATAATTCTCTAATATGTGGGTATTTTCTTTTATATCACTGAATAGTTTTAAACCAATAGATTGTTAAATGCTAATTGCATACTAACCATTTATTTGTATAAGACAAATAAGACAGTAGAAGTCTTCAGAGTTCTCTTTCAGAAATTTTCTTAGTTTGAAATAAAGACGGCTGTTGTTAGAGCATTTCTGTAATGTGCTAAACCTTTCTAGCTGTGCCTTAATAAATTATGCAACTACTCTGAGCTTAGTATTGATAATATTTGGCCTAGTGACCTCAAAGGTTTATTAAGGTAATATATGGGAGAGAACTTTAATAAACTCTAATATTGTAAATAAATATATATTGTAGCTCTGATTCAGAAAGTCTTAGGTAAGGCCTAAGAACTTGCATTTTTACCAAGTTCTCAAGTGATGCTGATGCTGCTGGTTAAAGAACTGTACTTTGAGAACCACTGCTCTAAGGTACCTGTAGCGTGCAATGAATTAACTTCTCCCCTTTGTATCTAGAATGGTACTAGCTATGCATCATCCTTGGTTGAATGAAAAGTGATCCATATCATTTTTTTGTATGGCTTAATTCTCTCATAGAACCTTGATAAGAATAAGAAACAAAAGGTGGTTATTTTTTTCAGCTGTTGATCTCAGTGTTGTCAGCGTGGGACAGGAAAAGTGCTACTGATATATCAAAAAGAAATGGATTTTATTAAATTAGTAGTATGTATATGATGTTTCTAAAATGCTCTGAACCCTCGCTCATGTAATGACCATATGCAAGAAATAGATCTTAAATATTAAACCACATAATACTCCTATGTAATGTGAAGCATATGGTAGCATCTCCATTTTGTAGTATAGTAAACTTATTAGGAAAAAGTCATTAAAGGAATTAGGGAATGAATTTCAGGTCCTTTGTTTTACTAATTCTGGTTCTTTACTCACTAAAGCTGATTGAAAATGTTAATTTACTGACTTCTTCTGTGCTTTATGTAGGTAATCCACTGTATGACAGCCTAGGTTCTTTGGGTGTGGGCACGTTATTAGGCATTGTCTCAGCATTCCTCATCTACACTAACACGGAAGCGCTCTTAGGGCGATCCATCCAGCCAGAGCAAGTACAACGGCTTACTGAACTCCTGGAGAACGACCCATCAGTAAGGTCAGCTTATTCCAGTGATGCTGCTAAGGTTTATAAAAACATATTAAGAAATAGAAATGCTTGGTTTGTAAATACTTCCAGAAGAGTTTGTGGTTCCCTAGCCTTTAGACTTTTAATCTATGACTTTTCAGACTTGCAACCTTAGAAGAAAACAAGTGAAAGCATTTTGGAAACTCCCTGTTTTCTTTTAAATTCTATATATCTTCAATCTTTAGAATAAGGAACACTTAGATGATGTAATGGGAACCGAAGTTTGCAAGTGGTTATCTCCATGATGTAGAACACTTCTGTGGAACCTTCATATTTATTTTTGCCTTATATTTGTATTATAATTACAAATTGCTATATTAAATTTAAGAAAATTTTTATTCAATGGGGAAGTGATTACCAAATTGAATATAATTTATACTCCTTTTGAAAATAGACTTCTTGTTTTAGCTCATTTTAAAAGTTTTTCCTTATAATCTTTATCTTTTAAATGATATGAAAATGAAGAACTGAAGGGGCACCTGGCTGGCTCAGTCAGTAGAGCATGCAGCTCTTGATCTTGGAGTCGTGAGTTCAAGCCCCACGTTGGGGGTAGAGTTTATTTAAAAAAAAAAAAAAAATGAAGAACTGAAGACTTAGGAGATAATCAGAAGAGATATGGCATTCTAATTAGTACTTTTTAGTGAAATTCAAGTTTCAGAGTGATACGGAAGGAATAAACCTTTAAAATCCCAATTTTCTACTAACTACATATATATGTTAAACTTTAAATGAATATATTTTTCTTCTGTGTTATAACCAGATCTTTTTAAGATTATTTATTTGAGAGAGAGAAAACACAAACTGGGGAGGGGCAGAGGGAAAGAATCTCAAGCAGACTCCCCGCTGAGCATAGAGCCCAACACGGGGCTTGATCCCACAACCCTGAGATCATGACTTGAGCCAAAATCAAGAGTTAGACGCTTAACAGACTTGAGCCACTCAGGCACCCTTAAAACCAGAATCTTTAAGTTAAATCTTTTAAGAATGACCTGTATATCTGAATCAGTAAAACAAATGAGTAAATTATTACTAGATTTATATTCTAAGCCCTACATTTTTAATCTGGAAAAGTAGTTACCTAGCTATATCTAGATTAGAAGTTGAATATTCTTAGAATCAGTATTAGGCTTAGTACTTGATTAGTCCATGTTAATATTCTTTTCCTTGTAATATCTTTGTCTGATTTTGGTATCAAGGTAATACTGACATTATAGAATGAGTTGGGAAGTGTTTTCTCATCTTCTATTTTTTAGAAAAGTTTATGAACCGTTGGTATTATTTCTTCTTTTAATGTTTGGTAGAATTCACCAGTGATATCATCTGGGCATGGGCTTTTCTATGTGGGTAGTTTTTTGATTACTTACTCTACCTATTTTCTTGTTAAGGATCTGATCAGATTGTCTATTTCTTCTTGAGTCAGTTTCAGTAGTTTGTGTCTTTCTAGGAATTTCTGCATTAGTTCTAAGTTATCTAATTTGTTGGCATACAACCATTCATAATTTTCCTTTGTAATCCTTTTTATTTCTTTAGGATTGGTAGTAATGTCTCCTTTTTCATTTTTGACTCTAGTAATTTGAGTTTTCCTTTTTCTCTTGGCCAGTCTGGCTAAAGGTTTGTCAATTTTGTTGATCTTTTCAGAAAACCAGCTTTTAGTTTTATTTTCTGTTGTTTTCTCTATTTCATGAATTTCTGCTCTGATCTATATTATTTCCTTCTATTTGCTTTAGATTTAGTTTGCTCTTCTTTCCAGTGTCTTAAGATGGTAGTTTAAGTTTTTCATTTGGTATCTATCTTCTTTTTAAAAATATAGGCTTTTACAGTTAGTGAATAAGCATTACTTTCACTGTATTAGTCAAATAATGAAATTTGTAATATTTTGTTAGGACTGAGGTAGATATGCTTTTTAAAAATGAAAAAAATTATGTAGCTTCTTGCCAATCTGGACAAGTTTTATTTCATTTTGGGTATATATAACCTTATAAATATTAAATCATTCTTATTTTTATCCTAGTTGATAAATATGCTTCTTTATTTTTATGGCTAAAGAATTTGAGACTCAGTATTTAGTAACTTGCTCAGGATCACTCAGAAGTAAGGGTCAAATGTTTTGAGTATTTGGAGTCTCATTTAGGCTTGTTTTCCTATGGCTCTCTATATCCCCAGGATTCAGAGTGTTTTTATTTTATATATCCCATAAAGAAAAGATGTTAATAGTGGTTATCATAGAAAGAAAAGAATTTCTCAACAGTTTTCTAAGGAAGATTGATTCCTGAGGGTTAGGACAGAAGGGATGAAAAGCAGTTATAACACTAGAACATCTGCTTTCCTTTCTGGGAGGCAAAATGGTATAATGGAAAGACTACTGGGTTTGGGTGTCTGAAGATCTGGAGGTGAGTCCTGCCTCTGCTGTTGACTAGCTGAATTACCTCAGGCAAGTCACTTAGGCCTCTCAGACTGTTTTATAATCTGTAAAGTAAAGATGCCAACTTAGCTACTTTCTGAATTCCATTCATTAAATGTCTGCCGTGTAGTTGCTACCATATTAAACATTGTATGTATGTGTTGGCTCATTATTCCCCATATCAAATCCCATTAGGTAGTTATTATTAACTTCATTCAAATAGAGTACTTCACAATTGCATGAAGACTTTTAAAGAAGCTTTTAAAAAAAAGAATTATGAGACAAAATGACAACATTGTAGAAAAGCAATTTAGAGTTGATTTTTTAATCCACAAACTATATAATTCATGTATATACAAACCATAAAATCATATTTATTAAGTTTGCATCTTTGTATGGCATTATGCAAAAATAGCTAAATGGACGTTTGTTTGGAAATTTATTGATGGCGCTTAATGGTGAATACTCTGAAAGCCATCTTGGTCCATTTTCATCACTGATGGAAAAAAAGAATTCTGTACTTTGTGCCATTAAAATGTGTATGTGTGCAAATATAAACGTGTATGCATTGTTATTGGTTGCAGGGCAATTCATGATGTTAAAGCCACAGATTTAGGATTAGGGAAAGTAAGATTTAAGGCAGAAGTAGATTTTGATGGACGAGTTGTTACAAGATCATATTTGGAAAAACAAGATTTTGACCAAATGCTACAGGTAAGTTTATGTATTTATTGTTTTCTTATATAGTCAAAGGTTAGAAAAATTACTTTTTGAGTAAATAAAATAGAACTTTTACAGGTCTTAAAGTCACTTGAGCTTTCAGCTTAGAGTTCCCAAACTTGACAGAGACCGTTTTATTTGCTGTGGAATGAGTTGGAGGAGATAGCAGCAGAGCAAACTACTGTTCAGGTGCTTGCCATGTGCCAGGCATTTTATAGAAATTCTCTAGCATACTCTCAACAACGCTGTGAGGTAAAGCAATAGTATTTTCAGTTTTATACGTAGGCAAGTTAAGACACAGAAGGATTAAGTAATTTGTCTAAAATTACAAAGCCATAATATGGAGTCAGATATCAGTGTAGATCTCTATGATTCTACAACCCATGATTTTATATTAAGAATTAAATTTAAAAGAGAATTCAGAGGATAATAATAATGAACAGTGCAAAGGTTACCACTTGCCTTTGTCAAATCTTAACATTTTACTCTACTGTATTTGCTTACGATCTTAAAGAAATTGTTACAAAAACAAGTGAAGACCTTGTCTTCTCCTTCTAGATCCCATTCTTCTTCCTCCATCCCTAGAACTAAAAATTGTCTTGAATTTAGTACTGTCATTTCCATTCAGTCTTTATACTTTTCCACAGATTTTTCTTAGCACAGTATATAGTAGCATTTTGAATATTTCAAAATTGATATAAATGGTATCATACCATCTGATTTCCTCTATAGTTTGCTTAAGAGCATCATTTTGAGATTCCTCCATATTAATATATGTGTGTATACATATATTTATTTATATGTTAATTTATTTTAATTGCTATATAATCTCCTATGAATATACTGCAATTTATCCAGTCTCCCTCTGATGGACAGTTATGTCCACAATGGCATTCTCATATGTTTTCTTGTTCAAATGTGTAAGAATTTCTTTAGGGTACTGCATAGCTAGATTTAAAATATTGGGCTTCTGAGTAAACTTGGGGTACCTGGTGGGTGGCTCAGTCGGTTAAGTGTCCAGCTCTTGATTTTGGCTCAGGTCTTTATCTCAGGGTCGTGAGTTCAGGCCCTGTGTTGGGCTCCACGCTGGGTGTGGAGCCTACTTCAAAACAAAACAAAACAAACTTACCTTCAACTTCCCTAGGTATTTGCAAATTGTTCTTGAAAGAGTGTCAGTTTAATTTCCATCATCAGTACATCAAAGTTTCTCTTGCTTCACATGCTTACTAGATGGTATTATATTCACAGTTTTGAAATTTTTGTCATTATGATAGATGTGAAAATTACAATTTATATTTAATTATAATTTCTATTCCCCCTGGTAGTAGTAGTGAGGTTAGAAAACATTTAAATTTATTGGCCATTGGGATTTCCTCTACTGCTTTATTTAGTTAATTTCTGTTATTCTGACAAATTAATAAACATTTTATTTTTAATATGCTGGACACTAATCCTCAGTTGTGTATATGCAAATATCTTGTACTAGTTTGTGATTTACCATTTCACTTTGTTATTGTACAGAAGGTTTAATGTGTTTTTTAACTTCATGTCCAATTTATAATCCTTTTCTCTAGGCTTTTTATTATGTTGCTTGAGAAGTACTTCCTTATTCCAGTATCATAAAAATACTCTCTTTTTTCTTCTAAAAGTTTTGTGGTTTGTTTTCTACTCTTAGTTTTTTAATTCACTTAGAATTATTATTTTTTTTGTTTAATGATTTGAGGTAGGGGTTTAATCTTTTTTTCCTATATAAAAATAATTGCCCTGGTACTGTTTATTGAATCGTCTGTTCTTTTCCCACTAATTTTGTAATGCTATCTCTGTGAAGTATTATACTTAATTTTTTGTTGAATTAAATGTTTTTGGAACTAGGTGGTCCATCACCTTTAGCATGAAAGTTTTTCGTTAAACTTAATGGTGTTTGTTATAATTTTTTAAAGAAATCATTGGTGTACTACTATGATTTTTTAAAAAGTTATTTTGTTTTCCTGCTGTCATTTTCTTTATAGGAAATTCAAGAAGTGAAAACTCCTGAAGAACTAGAGACCTTTATGCTTAAACATGGAGAAAATATTATTGATACTTTAGGAGCTGAAGTAGATAGACTTGAGAAAGAACTGAAAGTAAGATGTATTCATAATAATCATAATGCTGACTGTTTCTTAAGTACTTACTCTGTGTCAGAACAATGTGCTGATTGTATCACATGTATATGTTTATCTTCTCAGTAACCTCATGGTGTATGACTGGTAGTTGTGAACAAGAAAAATCACTGGGTTAGAGAAGTTGGGCAATTTACTCAAGGAAGTAGGGGATTGGGATTTGAACCTTTGTTGGTCAATTCCAAATTCTGTACTTTCAACCACTATTCCATAGTGCTTGCCTAGTTTCTAAAGTAGCTAAAGGTTTTTTGTTTGTTTTGAAATAAAAAGCATTTTAAAAGTTTCTAGAGAAAGGTGAAAGGGAAACTAGATTCTCTTCAAAAGTTTGAAAAAACAGAATGTGACCTTGAACATACACACATCTTCCTTTTACTCCACCTGTCATTATTTTATATTTTCTTTTTGCTTCTGTTTGAGTTGGATATCATTACAACCTGTTGGTTTTTTACTGAAATATTACCTGATAAGACTATCTTTAAAAATCTCAGTGTTCTCAAATTGTCATTTATTGACTCTTGAGTTCAAGTTATTGCAATAAATAATATTTATAAATGATCTTTAACATAAATAGCTTGTTGAAGGCACTGCATTTTCTTCAGCTGATGTTGATCATTCTTTAGTTTTGTTAAAAATTGAAGGGAAATAACAAAAATTGAAGGGAAGCATTTCTATCACTACTTACTATTTTTTCTTTTAGACTCTAGGTACCAGAGTAATAGAAGCACTTCAAATAATATGATTTTGTTTATGTTAATATTATAGTTCACAACATGATTTTTAAGTTTGTAGATGAGCTGTTCTCAAATATTTTTGTCTTAAGATTCTTTATATTCTTAAAAATTATTCAGGACCCAAAGAGCTTTTATTTATTTGAATTAATATTGATACTTACTGAATCATAAATTTAAGAAGAGTTCTAAAAATATTCATTTAAAAACTATAATATACATGTTAATATAAACATTTTAATGAAAAGTAACTACATTTTCCAAAATGAAAAAAATAGTGAAAAGAATGGTATTGTTTCACATTTTTGAAAAAATCTAAGCTAGATTCCCATATCTGTTTCTGCATTCATTCTGTTGACATATATTGTTTTGGTTGAAGAATATGAAGAAAAGGGAAAAGGGAGGAATCTTTAAGAGTATTCTTACAGCATTTTCAGATAATTGTGATATTCTTTTTGGATGTTACACCAATACCTGACAACTGGCAGCCTCTTAAAGCTTAGTTGCAGTGTGGAACCTGAAACTGTATCAGAGAACTTTTCACATACTGTTTGTGAAGTTAGGGGGCATAGTCCACAAGATCACCCTCATTTCTGACACCAGTTGCAAATTTCAAGGGGTTCTTCATATCACCCTCAGGTTTGATAATTCACAGAAAGGACTCACAAAACTCACTGAATGCTTTTATTTATTGATTTATTTAACGATTATTTGAGAGAGAGAGCATGAGCAGGAGAGGGAGAGAGAATCCCAAGCAGACTCTACACTGAGTGTGGAGCCCAATTCGAGGCTTGGTCTCAAGAGCCTCAGGTCATGACCTGAGCTGAAACCAAGAGTTGGTGCTTAACTGACTGCACCACCCAGGCGCCCCCACTGAATGCTTTTATACTCATGGTTATGATTTATTACAATGAAAGGATACAGATTAAAACTAGCCAAGGGAAGAGATGCATAGGACAGAATTCCAGTTGTCCTCTCCCCATGGAGTCATGGACAGTGTTATTTTCTGGCAATGATGTGACAGTTTGCACAGAGTATTGTCAACTCGGGAAGCTTAACTGAGCCTTGGTGTCCAGAGATTTTATTGGGACTCCATAGTTGACTGCATGAGTGGTCAGCCTTTCATCTCTGTCCACTCCAGGGAAAAGCCCACACTCTTAGTCTCCAGTCCCTTGTGGATATATAGCATATACTGTATGGCCAAAGATAAAGGCAAAATTATCAATCAGGACATTGCAAGGGCCTAGAGATCACCTCCCATAGCCAAGGGTCAAGGCCAGACCTCTCTCTAGGTATGATTAATTATCTGCTATACATTATTACTTTAAAATCCATGTGTCTATCTTTGTACTTTGAATGGATCTTTTAACCCATGCATGATTCTGGAATGTTATGAATTGGCCATTTGGAAAATACTAATTCACTGGATTTATGCATATCTTTCAAATGGTGATACATTTCTAAGTATTAGGAAGCTATCAAGGTCATGGTGGTAGATAAAAATTTTTCAGCATTCTGATTTTCATTTGAAACCTTGCATTTTACCATTAGCAACAAATATTACTGTTTTACTTGAAGTAACAGATTTATTTTGTTCATTTTTTAAGAAGATCCCTGCCAAATACCATATTTAAATAACCATAGTTTGTTAGTTTTTCTTTCAGGTAAAGCTGGGGTTTAGATAAGCTCACTTTTTTTGGTAGCACCAAGGCTCTACCATCTGAACCAGCCAGGAGCCCCTAAATGGTGTTTAGATAAAAAATCATCTGAGTCAACCCATAATTCAAGCAATCACACAGGTGCTTTTCCTTGTGACATCAGACCTCAGAAGCAGAAGGGCTTTGGAAGTACTTCCCATTTTGTCACAGAATATTTTATTTTTTAAAGATTGTATTTATTTATTTATTTGAGAGCGAGAGAGCACATGAGTGAGTGCAAGTGGGGGGAGGAGCAGAAGGGGAGGGAGAGGGAAAGAATCTCAAGCAGACTCTGCTGAGTGCAGAGCCTGCTGAAGGCGGATCCCTCAACCCCAAACTCACCACCTGAGCCTCACCACCCAAGCTGCAACCAAGTTGGTGGCTCAACCGACTGAGCCACCCAGGCGCCCCTTCACAGAATATTTTAAAAAGTGTACTCAAGGGTTGAGGTTTAATAAACCAATGTTTTTTCTACTTCATGAAGGACATTTTATTTGCTTTTATTTATTTTTTCATTAAGGACATTTTGTTTTTTAGATTTTATTTATTTTAGAGAGAAAGAGAACATGAGTGGGGGGAGGGGTTAAACGGAGACAGGGAGAGAGAATCCCAAGCAGACTCTGCACTGAGTGTGAAGCCCGACTGGGGGCTCAATCCCAGGACCCTGATATCATGACCTGAGCCCAGATCAAGAGTCAGATACTTAACCGACTGAGCCACCCAGGTGCCCTGATCATGAAGGACATTTTAAAGTGAAACTGGCTTTTTTAAAAAAAATTATGTGTCTGACAATAAAGGAACACAGTGACTATCAGTATAGTTCGGTGCCAGTTGCCTTGAATTGTGCAAAGATGCCATCAGTTTGATCTACCATTGCTTTTTATATATCATCAGAGGAAATACGAGCCTAGTGTGAAGGCAAATAACATCAGTGTTGTTATGAAAATTGTTTTGACCTTGGAATACCCCTTGAAAAGGTTTCAGGGGGTGCCTGGGTGGCTCAGTTGGTTAAGTGACCAACTCTTGATTTCTGCTCAGGGTGGTGAGATTGAGCCTGGCATCCGCATCAGCATCCAGGCTCTGCACTCTGCATGGAATCAGCCTGAGAGTCTTTCTCCCTCTCCCTCTCCCTCTGCCCCTCCCCCTGCTCGTGCACGTTCTCACACACACTCTAACACACATGTGCGAAAGACCTCTCTAAAATAAATAAATAAATAAAATCTTTTAAAAAAAGAAAAGAAAGAAAAGGTTTCAGGATCTTTGGACTACACTTTGAAAAATCACTGTTTTAAATATAATGCAAAATGATTATTTTTGTGCAGGGTGACATGAGAATAAATAAACTTTGCTTTTCCATTCTGTTTGTTTTTATTTCCCTGACATGGATAAAATAATGGACTTTTATTTTTACTTATTTATTTTTAAGATTTTATTTATTTATTTGATAGAGAGAGACACAGTGAGAGAAGGAACACAAGCAGGGGGAGTGGGAGAGGGAGAAGCAGGCTTCCCGCTGAGCAGGGAGCCTGATGCGGGGCTTGATCCCAGGACCCTGGGATCATGACCAGAGCTGAAGGCAGACGCTTAACGACTGAGCCACCCAGGCACCTCCAAATAATGGACTTTCAGACTAAATCTTTATTTTAGCTTTACTCTTTAATAGAAACAATAAGTCAGAAGCCAGATTTAAGTTAACAAATTGGTCATTCTTAACTTATATTTACTCTTACCACAATCAGATAAATTTATTGTTTTTGTTTAGCTAACTTTGTGCTTTAATTACAAGCTATTAAATCTTTAATAGACTGAACTAATTCATACGTGATTTTGAATTATAAGTCTTTCAAACCAGGAAACAAAGTTTAACCCATACTTTCATGTTAAAAACCTCTCTAAGGTGCTAAGGTATAATTTATCTTAAAGTTCTTCATAGTTGAGGCACCAAACCAAGAGAGTGCATGAAGGTAATTCTTGTTTCTTGTTATGAAAATCAGCTGATTTTCTTTTGAAAACTAAAATTTTGGCATATTCCCTTCTTTTTAGTATCTAAGCATGTTGCCTTCTAAGTTTAAATTTAATAATTATTGACTTATTTTGGAAGATCACACTCAGTGATAAAATTTAGCAGTATAGCTATCTCTGTTGAGTAATGCCATTGATCTAATTATTAGAATAGAGGGTATTTTTGGCATAAAATCTATAGCTTGGATAGTTCTTTGTAAAAGCATGAAAAATAATAGAAGCTAATTTATAAAGTCCCATATTATAAATGTGAAATATATTTTGTTCTTATTTTGAAATTCTTTGAACTGCTAATTAAAAATTTTTTTTGTTCTACCTCTATATTTCAATCTGTGGATAGACCCTTCTCCTATCCCTCCATGAAGTTTTTTTTGTGTTTGGGAGGCAATAATTCTATTGGGAATTAATTCAGTGGGAAGATGCCATAGTATTTGCAAATTCCTAATAAGTAGTATTCCATTTAAATGTTCTGCTCTTCAGTCCGTCTTGTGCTTCTCGAATTGCATGCTCCTGTAGGATTTTCTTGAGTCTGCAGCATTGCAAAATAAATTACACAATGTGGTTTTTCTTTCTCCATAGTGAGTTTTGGAATAAATTTGTCTGTGGTATATAAAATATTTGAGTTGGGTAGTGCCTAGGACAGAATAAATCAGTAAGTATTTGTTGAGGAGCGCCTGGTGGCACAGTCAGTTGGGCATCCGACTCTTGGTGGCTCAGGTCATGATATCGGGGTCATGGGATCGAGCCCCACATCAAGCTTTGCGCTTGGCATGGAATCTGCTTGAGATTCTCTTCCTTCTCACTGTGCCCCTCCTGCTAGTGCTCTTTCTCTCTCTCTCTCAAATAAATAAATCTTTTTTAAAAAAATAGGTATTGAGCAAACGAATGAAAATTTTAAGTTGAATACCACCTACTGATTTTCATTTCTGTTTAACTATTTATTCAGTTTCTGCTATGCATGTGATCTCTTGTTAGGCACTAAACATTAAAATTTAAGGATATTAATCCTGTTTTTTTATTCATTCAGCTAATACAGTGTGTGTTTCTTTGTATTTGGCACATTACATTTTAGGAATCTGATAGTTTTCTCTAAAAACTTGATTTTAAAACCGAGTACATCAACTTTTTACTTTCTTTTTCTTGAGATTAAATTTTTAATTGGTACACATTTGTTATATAGTGTTTTTTTAGAATAATTTCAAATTTTCCATTAATAGCTGAACTTTTTAAAGTCATATTAGGATGGGTTAGGGAGGATTGGAAAGGGAAAATAAAATTCAGTTTCATTTCTGTTTGAGGAAATCTTTTATTCTGTATTGAATTTAAGGAATTCTAGATAGAGCAAATAGTTTAAGGTAAAGAGAACATTGAGAACAAAAGTGTACCCCCATGTTTGGGGGTCCCCTGGCCATTCTTGCATTAGGATCCAAGAGGAAAGAACCCCCAGGTATACTTGAACAAAACTAGTTATAAGAAAAATCTCAGTGCACACTCACTAGAATGCTCCAGCTGGAGCTAAACTCCAGAATTACATCAGATCTTTGTCTTTATAATTGAATTCCTTTAATATGAGGAATATGCAAATGTTCCTAGGATGTTATTTTTTAAGTTAGGAATTATTAATCCTGACTGATTATCAGAATCCTTTAGAAGAGTTTTTTTCTCCCATGTTGATTTGTTTATCTGTCCATTTATTTAGTATTTATTTATTTAAGTAATCTCTCCATCCAAAGTGGGGCTCAAACTCATGACCCCGAGATCAAGAGTCACACGCTCTTCCGACTGAGCCAGTCAGGCACCCCTATTTTTATAATTTTTTATCAAATAACACACAAAGTTTATAAAGTCAAACAACTGAAAAGCTTATAAACAGAAGTAAGTATCACCTCCCTCACCATCCTCAATCCTTCTGCTCAGAGATAACCATTTTTAGTATTTCTTCTATATTTCTCCTATATTTACTACCATATTCCTATATGAAAGTCTTAAACTCCTTCTCCTAATTTAAACATTATTTCCTGGGGCGCCTGGGTGGCTCAGTCGTTAAGCGTCTGCCTTCGGCTGAGGTCATGATCCCAGGGTCCTGGGATCGAGCCCCGCATCAGGCTCCCTGCTCGACGGGAAGCCTGCTTCTCCCTCTCCCACTCCCCCTGCTTGTGTTCCCTCTCTCACTGTGTCTCTCTCTGTCAAATAAATAAATAAAATCTTTTAAAAAAAAAATGTCCTCTTTGATAGATGGAGATTAGTTACATAGTTTTATATGTTCTCTCTGCCCTCCATTTTCACAGTGTCATTATGTTACATCTTACTACATTTTTAATTACTCCACAGATTGAATTAGGTGTCCTTCCTTTTTGTACTCATAAAATCCCAAGACCTTTATCTTGCTCTTTATTTTTTTTACCTTGCTCTTTAAGTAGCAGACTGTTACAATTGCCTGCTTACCTACCTGCATTTCCTCCCTAGATAAGAGTTCATTGAAGACAAAGTACTGTTTCCTGTTCGTTGTTGTATACTTCAGTGCCTGGCGCAGAGTGGGCATGTAATAAAGATATTTTCTGTTGTGACTGAATTGCAGTTCCTTAAGCTAGCATTTATAGTTTTTCACAACTTGGTTTCTGCCTGCCCTTCCAGCCTCCTTCCTAATCCTGCCCTTTTTGCAGCTTCTGTGCCTAACTGTTCCATGCTGCCAGTGCATACTTCTTGGGCGCCCTAACTTTATTCAGGCTCTCTGTCTAGGTCCTCTGCATCATCTCTCTGGAAGACTCACTACTTTCAAGCCTTGTTTAGATACTAGATCCTTGGTGAAGTCTTGCTGGTCTCATGAGTTAAAGTAATAGATCTGACATTTTTGTTCCTAGAGTTAGCATTATAGGACATTGTAATGGTTAGGAGCTTGGGGTCTGGAATCAATCCTGGCTTCATCCCTTCTAGCTATGTAACTTTGGGCAGGGTAGTTAATTTCTTCAGACTTCAGTTTTCCCATATGTAAAATGGAAATGATTGAGTTATTAGAGGATTTTAAAACATACATGCATGTAAAGCCCCTTACTTAGCACAGTACTTGACACAAGAGTAACTGCTCCTAAATAGTAATTGTTATTATTAGCTCTAATGCGCTAACTCATAGATGGTTATTGATATACTTGGCTGCCTGGCTAAACTGAGTCCCTCAAGGTCAGGAACTATCTTATTTAATAATCATAACTCTACTTTCTAGCACAGTGCCTGGCCCAAAACTGTATGGGTTGTTGCTAACATATATAAAATAAGTGAATATCAGTTCATTTCTTCTGATTATTATTGTCTTCCAGTGATTTTCTTTTTACCACAAATTAGTGTATTTCCAAAGCTTTGCAATGTTTGGCACATATGAGATTCTTTTTTTTAAGATTTTTTATTTATTTCTTTGACAGAGAGAGAGATAGGGAGAGCAGGAACACAAGCAGGGGAAGTGGGAGAGGGAGAAGCAGGCAGCCCGATGTGAGGCTCGATCCCAGAACCCTGGGATCATGACCTGAGCCGAAGGCAGACGCTTAACGACTGAGCCACCCAGGTGCCCCCATATGAGATTCTTAGTACATTACTGTATTAATGAACATATGAACAAACTCAGGGAGGTTAGGGCTACTTACCGTATTGTTTATAGTGTATAATATTCCTCTATTGATTTTTATCTTGCTAATATGCCACCATGAAATCATTTGACCATATGTTTTAGTGGCTTTAGTGATCTAAAGGAATAAAAGGAAACAGAATTCTGTTTTGCTATGAATAATGTGGTGGTGATTTTTCGTTTCAGAAACGAAATCCTGAAGTTCGACATGTAGATTTGGAGATACTATAGATTTGATGGAATGAATCACCTTGGAGGGAGCCTTGGACTCAAGTTCGGCGAGCCTGCTCTCCCACACCAAAGGAGTCCATGCCATTCAGAAGCTGTTTTTTTTTTTAAGATGGAGGAAATATTTAATGTGAAGGGCAATTCAGCAGTCTACAGAACTAATACTACTTCATACTTCTAAGAGACATTGCAAGTTGAATCAATTTGGAAATCATGTTTTTATGTTTCAGTAGGGAACATTTTAGTTATTTAAATTGTTCATAATTTTTCATTTTACCCTGTCAGGGTGTATTGTACCTTGCAATCATGTTTCCTTCCTTCACATTGGTAAAAATAAGCAGCATCCATAGGATTATGGTTTTTAATTTTGTGACCACTGAAGATTTCACTCCATCAAAACCTGCCAATCTTGAACATTCTGGCTAAATCTTGGTTTTTAAACAGTCACTCTGTTTTTTTTCTTATAGAATGTGGAAATTATTTCTACATAATCCTGCCCTGAGCACTAAGAGGAACACTCTCCTAACCTAGTTATCCGTAAATGTTCATTCCAGAAATGGCTTGGTTACTGAATTGAAGGAAGACATGTCAGTCCACTCTTTTAGGTTATAGTAGTTGCCATTTTGTAAAATTTTTATCTCTCCTTAACCTTTTTTCTTTATTTAGTTTAATTTTTCCAGTGTAGGAGATACAAAATAACCCTAGATGTTTCCATAGGCCAGTTTGATGGCTGTTTTTTTTGTTTTTGTTTTTTAACTGGCTTCGGTGCCATAATGTGTATTTACTAGGAGGTAATGCATTTATAAGCATTTTAACATTCTGTAAAATGAGTAGAAATATTTATAATTTTACAGACTGGACAGCATTTTTAATTTATTTAAAAAGGCACTACTCATGTAAATCTGAACTGTGGGGTATTTCTTGCTTTAAGAGACAGAGAAGTAAATCTCTTCTTATGCGGAAACTTGTGGCCCCGATTTTGTATAATATCATAGTCAATAGTGTGTCTGTAATGTGAGTTTCTTGCAGTTATAAATGGACATTTAACATAGTATATGGCTAAAACATTATGTAAGTAAATAGTTTTCTCTAATGATCATAAGGTATCTGGGTGAAAAAACATACAATTCAGTAATAGAAAATTTAGTGCAAAACTACAGCTGTGTCTCCATTCATCAAAACAACTCATATGCACTTTAAATTGTTCAGGTAGCAGTGAGCATTGTCCAGGCAGCAGTGAGCATTGTCCAGGCAAGAGCGGTGGCTGGGTGATTTCTTTGCTTGATAAGTGAGTGTTTGACCTAAGGACCTAACTAATTTATATGAGGTCAGTGTCTAAAAACTTACTTAGGTTCAAGTTTATGAATCACAGCAAATTGTAATGCTGGAAACAAAAAATAAACATTTGATTAAAGGGTTTGTAATGGTAATTTTTTGATCCAGAAATGTCATTTATTGGAAAATTATGAAAATTTATATCGGTGTACATTTTTTTTTACCATTACAGAGCATTTTGCATGTTGTACATTTTAAGTGAAATAACATTCCAGTTTTATTTTTTGAAGATACAAAATTGTTATGTGTGTGTGTATATATATATATATATATATACAGGCATACACACACAATTTGATTCTCTTCTTATGGTTCAAATTCTTTACCCCTCTTTTTTTTTTTTTAACTTTTTGACTCATTATACTTCACTCTATACTTCTAATGTCATCTTCCTTCCCATTCCCACTTGCCATTTGTTAGTTAGTGTCACTGCCAAATGGGAAGTTACCAAATTATATCCGGTTTCCTCCCAGTAAAATTACTCTGAAAAATTTCACATAGCTACACGAGAGTAATTAACTCATTTAGAAAAAAATGTCAGAGTTGGTGTGCACAAGTTATTCTAAATGGTAGATTTTTTAAGAATTCCCTAAAAGAAACCAATTCCTGATATTTCTTTGAGTTTTCTAATCTGATTTTGATTGAGGTCATGCCTATTAAATAATAATAGAAGGCTTATGTTTCTGTCTTTCCATTTCTGTTCTGCACTGATGTTGTAAAGTTCAACAAAATTTGACATAAAGACGTACGGCACTATCTAAGAATTTGAGTATTTCTGTGGAATCAGGAAATGTATGCTATCACTGCTCTGTTTGTTTTCTCCTTTTAAACTAGAGTCCAATTTAAATTCTAAAACCAGAGAATTTGGGCCTCTTTTTTTAAAAAATGAGAGAATATCTAGTTCAGGTTTCTTGTTTTTGTGTTTTTCCAAATTAATGCTTCTAACTTTTAAGTCTTGATCTGATGATGCATAGCATTTGAACATGTAAGCATATAAATCTTATATTTTCAGGGGAAATAGCTTCTGTGATAGAATAATTGCAAAAGTAAGGTGGGACAGTGAGAAGGGCAGTCAAGGGCCCATGACTCCTACTTGTACTAAGCTGACCTCAGGAACTCAAAGGTGAATATGCTTGTTTTCAGCCCTGGCTGGGAATGGATCTCCCATCAGCTGTAAGTAGTAGGCCCCAAACTGTGGAAGGTGGCACATTATTAATTAGACTATGGCACTAGGGAGGATGAGGGATGGAGACCTATTTTTAAGTGGACTGTCTTGGTGGCCAAAAATATCCAGTTCCAAAGAGGGAGATTCCTGAACATGTACTGAAGAAACTGAGATAGGATTATACTGGAGAATTTTCAAAAACAAAGTTAATCTTTGCATACATCCTCCTACCCACACACCAAATAACTCAGAATTTTCTAACAAAATGGTGTAAGACTTGAATTTTGGGTATATGATTTTAGTGTTACCTTAATTATCCCATAATTTGAAAAATGCTTTTTGCTAAAATTATACAATCTAAAGGAAATGACTTAAGTTTTAAATCTGATAACTTTTTGAGGTAGAATGCTGGGAACTACTGAAAATTGCACAGGCATTTAGAATTTATACTATCTTTTTTAGATTGTATTTGTCAAGCTTTGGCATTTCTTTTAAATGTGATGACCCCCAATTTGCCAAACTGTCAGAAGTCAGTGAAGCAAAGAATTGAAGGTAAAATGTTGATTCAAAGATTATCTCCCCTAAATTCTTCATCCCTGTGTCTGAAATGGAAATTTGGAAGGCATTTATGTAGAAGATTGGTCTGGCAGCCTTTATATTTGCATTAAGTTTACTAGCATCCCTAGACTTTGGTTTTATGGAAAAGAAAATTTTTGTTTCTATTATATTGTATTTCATCTGTCTGATGTGCTGGCAGATTAAGATGGTCCTGGTCTCTCAGGATGGTTTCCTTAATAAATGTCATATGTAAGTAAGAGCAGATCACTGACCAGTTTTGGGGTTTTTTTTTCCTCCTGATAAATAAATGTTTCATCAACTTAAATCCTCCTTTACTTCATGTACTAATAACTGTAAACTGTAGATTGATATATTTTACCTTAAAAATGCCTGTTTGTTTTTTTTTTTTAAAGATTTTATTTTTTAGAGAGCGAGCGAGAGAGAAACAGCATGAGAGGGGAGAGGGTCAGAGGGAGAAGCAGGCTCCCCGCTGAGCTGGGAGCCCGACGTGGGACTCGATCCCAGGACCCTGGGATCATGACCTCAGCCGAAGGCAGACGCTTAACCATCTGAGCCACCCAGGCGCCCCAAAAAATGCCTGTATTTTTGAACAGAATTTATTATTCGTTGAGTACACTTGTTAGTTTGTAAGTTTCCTGGTTTTACAAAACCAAAATAGAACAACTCTTAATCATTTTATAATCAGTTTTCAGGATAAAGAGAACTGTTATTAACATACCATTAGGATATCATGTATTTTGTAAAAGCACGAACCCAAAATGTTATATCCCTTATTGGTATATATTATTACATTTTGACAAAACTAGATTGTTTAAACATGTTAATTAGGTTATTTCTTCTGAGATGTGTCTATATAGCATATTTAGAGAAAAAAAAAAAAACCACAAAAACACTAAAAGCTGCAACCTAGAGCTAGCCTGCCCTGGGGCCCATGTTGAATTCTCTACTAATGCTAATATAGGAATTCCCACTGTATTTTCTTTTTTATAAGAAACTAAACCAAAGTAATTACTGAAAGTAATTTGGTACTGTAGGAGCACATAGTCCCCTTCCCCAAATCAAATTTATTGAGAATAGAAGCACAGGGGTGCCTGGGTGGCTCAGTCGGTTAAGCATCTGCTTTCGGCTTAGGTCATGATTTCAGGGTCCTGGGACTGAGCCCAACATCAGACTCCCTGCTCAGTGGGGAGCCTGCTTCTCCCTTTCCCTCTGCTGCTCCCCCTGCTTGTGCTCACTCTCTGTGTTGAATAAATAAATAAAATCTTAAAAAAATGAAAATAGAAGCACAATTGTTTAGAATTTGCATAGCAAAATACGGAATCGTATCTGTATCTTTAAGGGCTTATAGAGGCTTTAAAATAGACTTAAAACATACCTATTGGTATTATGATAGCTATCAACAGGATAATTTGAATTTTTTTTTCAGGTACCATTTTACATATATTCGCCCATTTAATCCTTACAAAGAGCCAGTGGAGTAGAGATTATTATTTACTTTTTTTGCAGATGAGGGAACTGAGATACAGTAGATCTATAATGTCTGAGGATATGCAGCTGGTAAAGGGCAGAGTCCAAATTTGAACTCAGATAAATTTGGCTCTCTACAAGTCACTCTGCTGAGCACAAGAGCCCAGAAAGAGTAGCACTTAACAGAAAGTGGAAGCAAAATAATCATTTTATTGTAAAATAAGCCAGTGAGTTAATATTCAGTAGTCAGAACACCAAGCCACATCTAATTTAGACTGCTTGAAACGGGGATTGGTGAGGTGGGGTTGTGGTGGGACATTGATGTTTTATAGAAGTTGAGGAATTGGCTGTCACTTCTAAGATTTATTTTCAAGTATTACTTACAGACCACCTTAGAGACATACTCAGAAGATGATACTTAGTTCAACTGTCAGTCTTTGATTTGAACCATGTAGGAAAAATATTTAGGGAAAGGTGTGTAGGTTAGCATTAATCAAAAAATTATAAAATACCCTAAAGTTGTATTTGAGTAGATGAAACATTTATGTGATCTAAAATTAAACATTTACATGTTCAAACAGATACATTGGGAACACTCTCTCTTCCAACTGTGACCCCTAGTTACCCATTTTCTTCTCCCAGAGAAAACTAGTATTACAAGCTTATGATGTGTCCTTACACATATTGGTGTATATATGCACACCCACATGCAAGTTTATAGTATATATTTCCTCTGTTCTACACAGATGGGAAAATACTTATACATTAAGGAATCTTCTTCTAATTTAACAAGTACACAGCCAATTTCCAGAGTTTTGTGTTCACTGAAAATTGTTACATCAAGAGGATGTAACAGTATAGTGCTGTGCTTTACCATACGGTAGCCACTTGTGACATGGGACTATTACCATGTAAATAAGTAAAATTGAAAAATCAGTTTCCCAGTTGCATTAGCCACATTTTCATGTGCTCAATAGCCAACATGTGGCTAGTGGCTACCATGTTATACAGTGTAGATATAGAACATTTCCATTTCACCGTTCTTTTTAGACAGTGCTAATATAATAAAGTAATTCTAATCTCTTTAATACTTGAGAGTATTTTATAGTGTACAACAAAGTACAGATCTTTCTTAACCTACAATGATGTATGTCCCCATAAACCCATTGTAAGTTGAAATAATCATAAGTTGAAAAAACATTTAATACACCTAACCTACCAAACATCACAGCTTAGCCTAACCTACCTTAAATGTGCTCAGGACATTTACATTAGCCTACATTTGGGCAAAATCATCTAACTCAAAGACTATAATAAGTGTTGAATGTTTCATGTACTTCTTGAATACTGAAAGTGAAAAACAAAGGTTGTATGGGTACAGAATGGTTTAAGTATATCACTTCACCTTTGTGTTTGCATGGCTAAGTAGGATTTGCTGCTCGCTGCCGCTGCCCAGCATCACAAGAGGGTGCCCTACCACATATTGCTGGCTTGGAGAAAATACCAAATTTCAAATTTTGAAGTATGGTTTCTACTGAATGTGTATTTCTTTTGTACCGTCGTAAAGTCAAAACATTGTAAGTTGAACCATCATAAGTCAGGGACCATCTATAGTACCTAGTTTTTGTTGTTGGAGGAAGGGGAAAGAAATTCTAGCTTAGTTCTTAAAAATGTATTGATGTATAATTAGGTCTTGGGCTGTAACTTAAGGCTACAACTCGTTAGTGGTACCTTGAATATGTAAATTTCTCGTTTTAAAAATAGTTTGAACTGGACTTCATCTCTCATTCAAATGCACAATCAACAGTCTGAGCATTAGGGAACAAGTCAACCCTAAAAAAGTGTTCTTGAACCATCAGAAATTCTTACCCAGGTTGATAAATTATGTGATTCTGAGGGTTAATATTAGTTTAACGTGGTAGCTCAGCAAACAGCTAAATCGGTATGACACTATTCATCATCTGAAGGCCTTAGAGATGAAAACCTGGGATCAAAACTCCCAATTTCTTCACCTTGCCTTCAAAGAATCTCTTGTAATTTTCTCCTTTTCAGTAAATGGCATCTTCATTTTTTCAGTTGGCCCAAATCTTGACTTTAAGTCTGGCTCTTCTGCATTTCTCATACAATGGACAATTCAACACCTTAGCAAGATCCACTGACTCTTACTTTCAAAGAATCCATTTCTCATCATCTCAATTATTACTTTAATGTCAGCCATCATCGTATCAGTTGAATTTCCAAAGTAGCCTCTTAACTGGTACCCCCATAATCCTAGCCCACACATTCTATTTCGACACAGCAGCTTGTGATTTTATGAAAATCTGTCCAATCATGTCATTTTTCAAAGGCTTCCTAATGGCTACTCATCTCATACGGAATAACAGACAAAGTCCTGACCAGGCCTGCAAGTCCTCCGTGGTGAGTTTCCCCACTACCTCTCTGACCCCATTTTCTACTATTCTCTGCTCACTGTCCCTGCCAGACTGGGGTTTCTGCTTTTCATACATCCTAGGTATGCTCTCCGGGCCTTTGCACTGCCTGGACTACTCTTCCTGCCACATCCCCGCACAGCATGTTGCTGCTTCAAGTATCTGCTCAAATGCCATGTTATCAGTGAGGCCTTTTCTCACTGCTCTATATAAAATAGGGAAAACCCCTTCCATCTTCCCCAATTTTTCCCTGACTTGTTTTTTGACCATAGAATTTATTATCTGGCAAACTATAATTTTACCTTTATTTTTTGGTGTTTCCCCACTAGAACGTAACATCCACTAGAGCTGTGTCTCCAGAAACTAGAATGACCTCTGACACCTAGCAGACATTTGAGAAGTATTTATTGAATAAGTGAATGTTTTGTGTATGATGCTAGTCTGTAGAAGTATAAAGATAAAAAAGACATAGACTTGGTCTTCTGGCTCACAGTCTAGTTAAACTGACAAGCAGCAACCCATACAAATGATTGCAATTCAGCGTAATAATGTGCTTATCAAATATTTAACTGGATTGATATTAATCTTCATCAAAACTAGGTTTGTAAGATTGGCATGCTGATATGCTGCTGAGGGGAGTGTGAGTTGGGGCCACCTATCTGTAGGTACCAAGAGTCGAAAATGTTTGTACCTTTTGACCTTGTCATTCCACTTCTAGAAACAAAATCTAAGGAAATAGAGTGGCTTCAGTATGACAAATTTTTTTTTTAATTTAGGAAAATGGTTAAAGTATGCCATATTTATAAGGTAGAATACAATGCCATCTTTGGAAGCATTTTTTTGCAGAACACTTAATAATATGGCAAAATGCTTATGGTAGAGAAAAATGTAAGAATACACACCTAGGACTTCCAAGTTTTTACAGCTAAGGTTTGGGGTTGGGGTGGGAGATGTTCCTTACTTTTTATTGTGCACACTAAAAATATTTTTATGAGCAAATATTTTGTAAATTTTAGAAAAAGTACGTAAGACTCATGTTTTTAGTGAAAAAATAAAAACAGGATACATGACTATTCAGAATAGTTCCAATTTTGTGTACATAGAGGACTGAAAGGAAATACACTAATACTAACAGTGCTCATACATGGGTAATTTTTCTTTTCTTTTTTCCTACCATGAGCCTGTCTTTTATAATAAAAAGGTAATTCAAAAGGACAAACAATTCTTCAATCTTCTTGAGATAATTGTTAATGTTAGAGTGTCTCATATGTATAATGGAATATTACTCAGTCAAAAAATGAAATCTTGCCATTTGCAATAACATGGATGGAGCTAGAGAGTATAATGCTAAGTGAAATAAATCAGAGAAAGACAAATACCATATGATTTCACTCGTGGAATTTAAGAAACAGAACAAAGGAAAAAACGAGATAAAAAACAGACTTAAATACAGAGGATGAACTGGTAGTTGCCAGAGGGGAGGTGGGTGGAGGGATGGGGGAAACAGAAAAGGGGATTGAGAGTACACTTATCTTGATGAGCAATGAAAAATGTATGGAATTGTTGCATCATTATATTATACACCTGAAGCTAATACAACACTGTGTGTTAATTATACTTGAGTAATAATAAAACAACCCTAAAGTGTGTGGGGTGCCTAGGTGGCACAGTTGGTTAAGCTTTTGACTCTTGGTTTTGGCATGGATTGTGAGATCGAGTCCTGTGTCAGGCTCCGCACTCAGCAGAGAGTCGGCAGTCTGCTTGAGTTTCTCTCTCTCTCTGTCTCTCACCCTTTGTCCCCCTGCACTCGTGCTTGCTCTCTCTCTCAAATAAATAAATCTTTAAAAAAAAACCTAAGGTGTGAGAATCCTTGAATTAGAATTTTAATTTTAACACCTCCTTTCAAAAGGAGGTGAGAACCAACAATTTTAAAGGGAAAAGACTTAAGCTCATTTCTTTTGATTATTTTTTTTTAAAGATTTTATTTATTTATTTGACAGAGAGACACAGCGAGAGAGGGAACACAAGCAGGGGGAGTGGGAGAGGGAGAAGCAGGCTTCCCTCGGAGCAGGGAGCCCGATGCGGGGCTCGATCCCAGGACCCTGGGATCATGACCTGAGCCGAAGGCAGACGCTTAACGACTGAGCCACCCAGGCGCCCCTTGATTATTTTTTAACCTGGATTTAATACCATTAGACTTCAGAAGTTTCCCATAGGGATTTCCACCCCTAGTAATAGGAGCAAATATTGTTGGAAGTCAATATGGTGGTGTGCTTGACTCTTTATATAACCCGAAATACCCTGAGATCTCACTGTGGGTCATTGTAAAAACAGTATGTTTGTCAGAGAAGACTAGGGCAATTGTTCTATTGGAAAACTAAAAAAGAAATGTTAAAAACAGCCTTCACGGGTGCCTGGCTGGCTCAGTCAGTTAAGCGTCTGCCTTCTGCTCAGGTCATGATCCCGGGGTCCTGGGATCGAGACCCGCATCGGGCTCCCTGCTCAGTGGGGAGCCTGCTTCTCCCTCTCCCTCTCCCTGCCGCTCTCCCAACTTGTGCGCTCTCTCTCCATCAAATAAATAAAATCTTAAAAAACAAGACAAAACAACCAGCCTTCAATTACCGTATACACTCAATAAATAATTTTTGTTTTAATTTTTTTTTTAAAGATTTTATTTATCTGCTTGACACAGAGAGAGAGATAGCGAGAACAGGAACACAAGCAGGGGGACTGGGAGAGGGAGAAGCAGGCTTCCCGCTGAGCAGGGAGACTGATGAGGGGCTCGATCCCAGGACCCTGGGATCATGAGCTGAGCCAATGGCAGACGCTTAATGACTGAGCCACCCAGGCGCCCCATCAATAAATACTCTTTTCTTTTGGGGTATAACTGACATAACATTACAGTTGACCCTTGAACAATGCAGGGATTAGGGCAAAAATTCACATATAACTTTTGACTCCCCCAAAACTTAACTACTAATAGCCTACTGTTGACCAGAGACCTTACTGATAACAGTTGATTGACACGTATTTTGTATCTTTTTTTTTTTAAAGATTTGTTTATTTATTTGAGAGAGCGAGAATGAGAGAGAGAGAGAGAGTACATGAGAGGGGGGAGGGTTAGAAGGAGAAGCAGGCTCCTCGCCGAGCAGGGATCCCGATGCGGGACTCGATCCAGGGACTCCAGGATCATGACCTGAGCCGAAGGCAGTCGCTTAACCAACTGAGCCACCCAGGCGCCCCGACATGTATTTTGTATCTTTTTATATTATATACTGTATGCTTATTCTTACAATAAAGTAAGCTAGAGAAAAGAAAATATTAAGATCATAAGGAAAATACATTTATGGTACTGTACTGTAAAAAAAAATCTGTGTTATAAGTGGACCTGCACAGTTCAAATCCATGTTGTTGGAGGGCCAACTGTATAGAGGTTTCGAGTGTCCAACAATGTTTTGATATTTGTATAAATTGCAAAATGATCACCACAATAAATTTTTTATTATTATGTTAATCACCATACATTACATCATTAGCTTTTGATGTAGTGTTCCATGATTCACTGTTTGTGCATAACACCCAGTGCTCCATGCAGAACGTGCCCTCTTTAATACCCATCACCAGGCTAACCCATCCCCCCACCTCCCTCCCCTCTAGAACCCTCAAGTTTGTTTTTCAGAGTCCATAGTCTCTCATGGTTCATCTCCCCCTCCGATTTCCCCCCCGCTTCATTCTTCCCCTCCTGCTATCTTCTTTTTTTTTTTTTTTTAACATATAACGTATTATTTGCTTCAGAGGTACAGATATGTGATTCAACAGTCTTGCACAATTCACAGCACTCACCATAGCACATACCCTCCCCAATGTCTATCACCCAGCCACCCCATCTCTCCCACCCCCCACCACTCCAGCAACCCT